GGGAGTTCCATAGATTTCAAGGGATTCGACTTCGAGTACTTGCCTTTCGGAGCTGGCCGAAGGATCTGCCCGGCGATCGACTTCGGGCTGACCGTGGTGGAGCTCGTCCTGGCTAATCTCCTCTTCCACTTCGACTGGAAGATGCCCAATGGAATGAAACCCGAGGAGCTCGACATGCGTGAGAAGATGGCACTCCTTGTACCAAGGCAAACTGAGTTAAAGTTGCTTGCTACTTCAAGAATTCCTGTCCCCGCAACTATCTGAAAGTTGGCAGGAATCAGATGATTAGTACGTAAAAAGTATGTGTGGAGGAACCTACAAGTGCTGGTATTCATATGTTCCCTAGTTTCTTTGGCTTTGCTGCCGATCGATCCATTTAATGGAAACTCCGTGATGTATGTATAATATTTACTTGGTAATGGTTTAAGTTTGTGAGTTGTTAAGAACGTACGTATGCATAACATCTTCATATAATTAAAGGTGCTCAATGCAAGCCCTTCGAATCCCATGGAACATTATCTAATGTCGTCTGACGCGGCCTTCTTCTCCCACTTCTTTGGCAATCGAAGTATTTAACTTTACTCTTGAATTATTTAATCAATCAAATTCCTCACCTCTGTGTTTTTTGGGAAGAAGGAAAACAACTGTTTGATCGATTAGGCATCGCCTGCCCATGGAAACGCAGAGTACCAACGCTGTCCGTGAGTGAGCATTCGAGAGTTCATATCCAACGCAGCCAAAACGCTATGCAATCACTGTCCGCGTCGCGCGTCGTGTTCGATGCTTTTCCAATGTTGAGCGAGAGACTTAATTTGTGAGCTTCCTGGAATCCGGACGAGAAGCAGCAGCAATTACCCAAGACTTGATCGGAAGGCCAGAGATAAGAGATCGCTTTTGGGGTTATCTGAACTTGTCAGATGCTCCATCCCCATTACTCTTATCTTGACCATCACAGGTCCACAAGCCGAGAAGACGACGAAACCTGCGTGCCACGTTCAGCGAATGCTGTGTGAAGATAAGGTCAAATTTGCGTTTTATTGAAATTTATGATATGATTTCACGTATAAATCTGATTAAAATCGAGTACTAGATTAAGTAAGAAATCGTGAAATTAAGTCCAACTATTTTGGATGATAATGAATAAAGCATGAGATTAAGTGCCAAATTATTTTTGGACTCTTCAGAGGTATAGCAAAATAAATAGAGGCAAATGGTCTTATCAACGACCGATGAACGAACTATAGGGGTTTTCTTTTTCTTTTGAAATAAATTAATATATATTTCTTTCCTTTATTACTTCAGCTCTTGTTTTATATGTGTATATTGGTGTTTGGATTTCCCTATTTCTCTTTTGTTTATCGACAGACGATATCGAATCGATTAATTCTCCCCAACGATTCTTAGCTAAAAGTTTTGGAGTCGAGCGAGCAGCAAACTATTCACGTATACAGACAGATATCGTCAGCCTGGCAGAGCAAGAAATTTCTGGAGAGACTACGAGTTTGACAGAGCATGGAAGAACACGACATAAAAATGGAAGGCAATGGCCAAACTTGGTCACGCGGACACACAGAGTTGAGTACTCCATGGAACAGCAGCTTCAGCTCGCTTCCATCTTCGTCTTCATCTGCTGCCTCCTCTTCCTGCTCGACTGGATGAACAAAGGATTCACCAAGTACAAAGGCCGAAATCCAAAACCTCTGCCCGGCCCATGGAATCTGCCGTTCATCGGCAGCATGCACCACATGGTCGGGCAGCTCCCTTTCCGAGCGCTCCGCGAGCTGACCCGCAAGCACGGCCCTCTCATGCTCGTCAGAATCGGCCAGGTAGACTATGCGGTTGCCTCCTCACGTGAAGCCGCCGAGGAGATCTTGAAGAAACAAGACATCACCTTCGCTTCCCGACCACAGTTGGTTGCAGCGCAGGTCATTGTCTATGGCGCCACCGACATAGGCTGGACGCCCTACGGCCCCTACTGGAAGCAGCTGCGCCGGATCTGCTTCATGGAGCTGCTCGGCACCAAGCGCATCCGATCCTTTACCTCCATCAGGACGGAGGAGACCCTCGACCTGATGAGAGACATCTCGAGATCAGAAACAGAACACATCGACCTGAGCGAGAAGCTGTTCGGTCTCGCCAACGCCATCGTCTGCCGAGCGGCGTTTGGCAAACGATGGGATCGCCGAGAGAGGTTCGTCACGATCATCAAGGAGACGTTCGACCTGCTCGGTGGCTTGTGCTTGGCCGACACGTTTCCGTCGCTCAACTTTCTCGACATCCTCACGGGTTCCATGTCGAAGATGCAGCGCGTACGCCGACAAATGGATGACATCCTGGGCGAGGTAATCAAAGAGCACGAGGTTAAGGCCGCCACGAGCAACAGTGAGCGTGTCGACGAGGTGGACTTGGTCGACGTGCTGCTGAGGCTCAAAGACGATCCCAAACTGGAAATTCCCATGACGACGGACAACGTAAAGGCCGTGATCTTGGTGAGCTCGAATTAAACATCGATGTGATAAGTCCGCGTAAGGAAACATCTCCTGCATGACAGTCTTCTCGTCCTTCATATATGTAGGACATGTTCATTGCAGGCACAGAGACCTCATCGACTGTCGTTGAATGGGCCATGTCGGAGCTTATAAGGAACCCGTCGATCATGGAGAGAGCGCAGGAGGAAGTGAGGGAAGCCATGAAAGGAAAGAACAGAGTCGAAGACAGTGACACATCCGAGCTGAAGTACATGAAGTTAATAATAAAGGAGACGATGAGGCTTCACCCACCGGCCCCCTTGTTACAAAGACGATGCAGGGAGACGTGCGAAGTCATGGGTTACGAGATAGAAGCCGGCACTTGTGTGTTCGTCAATGCATGGGCAATCGGTAGAGATCCACGGCACTGGGACGACGCCGAGACCTTCAAGCCGGAGAGGTTCCAAGGCAGTTCCATAGGTTTCAATGGATTGGATCTCGAGTACTTGCCGTTCGGAGCTGGCCGAAGGATATGCCCGGGGATCGGGTTCGGCCTCGCCGTTGTGGAACTCGCCTTGGCTAGTCTCCTCTTACACTTCGACTGGAAGCTGCCCGATGGGATGAAACCAGAGGAACTCGACATGCGTGAGACCAGAGGACTAGTCGCATCAAGGAAAACTGAGCTGAAGTTGATGGCTACAACACGAATTCCTCTACCCGCCACAATCTGAGTCTTGCAGGAATCAGATGAATACTACTTAAAAATAAATGTGTGCTCAAATTATATGTGGACTGGTATAGATACGTACGGTGGCATGCATGATCTGGCCGTAGTTTGTCTTTCCTTTTGTTGCTGTTCTATGTAATACAATGTACGTTACATGCGAATATACATATACTATATTGTGTGGTGGTAATAGTTGGTAGTTCAATATGAAGTTTGTTCCCTTTGCTCGAACGTAAACAACCGGCATGCAGTGTCCATTCTCCTATGTGTTCCGGGGAAGAAGACCAAGCAGTGAGGTCATCCTAAACCCGCCATGACTTTTCCTTGGACGAGAAGACTTGATGCTTACCTACCCCAAGGATGTCCATGACTAGCTTATATTTTCCGGATTAGAATGGTCAGGAAAAATCGTGCACTTAGCCTTAAAAGAACAGAATGTACAAAAAGTTACATCAAACATCAATTATATGGATGTCTATCGCGATTCATACTCAAATATCTGCATCAATCAAATCCTTGAGAAACAGAAGCATATATTCAAATCCTCCGTATATATATGATAATCACTTGTGCAAGTCATTTGTGAAACCAACAATAATGATACCGTTATTATATTATTAAAAATAATATATAATTTTTTAAAACTTGTAAATATAATTGGGATATTGAGGATGAACGAAATCAAATAGTTGTTGCACAAGTACATCTTTAGTTAAGGTCTTGTGCAAGAAAATATTGTTAACATAATTGTTGTATGTGCTAGATTTGTGTGATAGCTAAACTTAAGATGAGTTGAATTGTTATTAGTTTAACGATGGGGTTGAAGGTCTTTTTGAAGTCAACATTGAGTCATTGGTAAAATTATTTAGACATTGGACATGCTTTATATCTAACAATGGATCTATTCAAGTTGTATTTAATTTGTAATATCTACTTATACTCTATAATATTTTATATGAGATTAAAAGGAACAATGGTGCATGTACCATTATGAGATAGGACATCGTATTCCTCACATATGTATCTCAGCCAAAGAAGTCGAACGTGTGCTCGAGTTATGCATCTTGAAGAAGAAAGGCCTACCACAACGGAGCATGTGCTCGAGTTGTGTATCTCAACCAAAGAAGTGGAGTGTGTGCCCAAGTCATGCATCTCGGTTAAACAAGAGAGGCCCGTCACGACGGAGCATAAATCTAAGATGTGCAAAACTAAAAAATAGAGCAAGCAAGACTAAGCGATTTAGGTCGAAAAGACTATACTTGAAGCATATGCGTTGGGAGAGCACAGCTTGCTCAGAGAGTAACTGTTTGATCAGCAATAAGGGGTCTCCCGAGATATCCCGACCAACAAAAGCACCTCATGACATACCTCGGACCCCTCTGCGAGACTTCCGGGGTATGCCTTCGGGGTGGACAAGATGATAGGGAATATTTTAGTACCACTCACGTATTGACGACCACCAAGGAGTCGACATGGAGTATGTGCCCAGCACGTGTCGAAAGAAACCACAACCAACTCGGTGGACGATATGCGATCAGCTCCACGTCCCCCAGAACCATGTGGGTTGGCACCGCACGACGGGGGACCGGATGGGCCTACCCACGCTGTCAAGAGCATACAAGTCGATCACTCGCACGACTGCACCAGATGAAGCATCAATGTCCATTAACAACCAACGTACGATCGAACCATCACCACATGTATAAATACTGATCCCCTAGCCTAAGAAAAGAGATCAAATCTTTTTTACCACTTAGACCAGTTGCTAACTTAAGAATAAGAGAGGCCAAGTTAGGAATCCCTCTCTCGATATCGACCTATTGTGCAGGATTGCAACGTGAACGAAGCCGATCGAGCATCACATTGGGTCAACCATAAGGGTATAGTAGAAGCCGAGAACCAACCCCCAACCCCCAACCCGACCTCCTTGCCCAAGAATCCACGTGGACAACCAGATCGTACCAATCCTGCGGATATGGCGTAAAGGTAACTAACACCTCTAACTAGAGGAGACTATGGCACTGGTCGCACCAAGGAAAACCGAGCTGAGGTTGCTTGCTACTGCACAGATTAATTCCTCTACCTGCCACCCCCGGAGTGTTGCAGAAATCAGATGATGAATAGATGTGCGTGTGTGATCTCATTCGATTTGCTGCTGCGTATGCCCCATTCTCAACTTGTACAGAAACAACATTGTTCTGAGGAAGCGATAAATATGGCCAGATTTCAGACGATAAAGAGTCCTTTCTAATGTCGGCATGCTATATCGATCTGTTAAATACAAAGAAGTAGCTGCTACATCATTCATGCATGCATGCATGTACGGTACAGTACAAATACAGTCAAATGTTACAGTAGGATAGGATCAGTATCCATATGAGAGTTACACCTGCTCACGTAACATATGATATTATCGAATCCAGTTCCGATATGCATGACCAGCATCTATTCATTTTTTTTCAAACAATCATGCTATCTTGAAGCATGCTCATTCATATTTTATATATCAGATAAATCTATCTTTCCAAGATGGGACAAAGATTAAAGTAGGTGAGGGTTGAAAAATCAAATCAGACAAGAATCTCCATCTCTAATCAAAAAGCACAAAAATCCAAATCATAGGTGTCAGAATCAGATGAACATTAACAGAGATATGCAAAAGCTAGCACTTTAAAAACTTAAAAACACCACAAAAAGGCATGTCTGATAGAGCTGCCTCTCGCAAGAAGCATCACTTTGTGTTCCATGGAAAAAAGTTGGTCGACTTAGACACTAATTTTGTCCATTATTAATCGAAGTTCAAAGGATTACGATGCCCTGCGTGACGGTCTCATCCAACTCTCTTCGCGATTCCTGATTCCTTGTCCGAAAAGATAGGTCTCCAACGAGAAACAGAGCACTCCAGTCTCTGATGATGACATTAGTATGGTGCATGAACCGGGCCTGCGGAGCCCTTCGTAGGTGTCCTCCTCCTCACGACCCTCGTCATCATATCTTTCCTCGAGTTGCACACAAAATGGACGGCTTATCCTTCCTCCCTCCGCTCTGTTTGACCAGCCGACGAAGGTTTGTACACTCCACAAGACAAACGCCTCCACAGAACGTCACGTGAACACTCATCCGGTGAAAGAAAACGTCGACAAAAACAAAAAGGAAAAAAGAAATCGTGGTTCGATCGTAAAAGGCAGGAAAGATGTTTTCATTCCCTATATATAATTTTTCTTTTAATAAGATCTTCATATACGGCCCTTTCCTTACGATTGCTTGTTAAAACTTATACAACTACAGTATTCTTGATATTCTCACTCATTGATTGTTTTTCATCAGTGTTCTCTTTAATCTTCTCTATTTTCCTTTTCCGCTGCATAGTGAATTAACATAAGTTTTTGAATTTTATAGGGATGCCATTGCAGTTTTATAAGATTTTTTCTTCTTCTTAGGGTAATTCACGTCCAAACCTAAAAACCCTTTACACTCTTATGTACATTTTTAGTAAATGAGATCCATGTGTACTCAATGGAACAACATAAATAACTCTATATTACAAGATTCTCTTAAATCCAATGCCTTTGGTAAATTTATCTCTGGAGTGACTGACGATTCCAAGTGAAGACAAGGCTGCAATCACATCCCCCGCACCGGTACTCAGGTTTTATGTGTGTCCACCTCTCAGAACAACTACCTCTGCAAGTCTTCTGCATTTCATCGCCTCATTATTTCTCAAGTTCAAAAGTCAAAAAATCGATAAGATAAAACCTAATTCAAGATGTTTTAACTACGTATATCCTCATCATTCTATACCTTTCTCTCAAAGTGACAACGCAGAGAATCTAAGTAGAAACCAGTCTCAGCCATAAAACATTAACTGTACGTATATGCCAGTAGAGACGACATATATAATTGTACTACAAGCTTTATTCTACGTTAACTTTGGTCCCGTACAATATATTATTGTACTCCTATTATGTTACATGTGTGTGTGAACGATCACTCGAAGCCACTATAATCCTTTCCAACCTCCGGAAGAGGATTCCACCAGTCCTCCCATATATTCTCAGCTGAGATCACCGGCAGATGCTGACTCGGTTGGTTCATCAAGCTTCGGCCGTAACTTGCTAACTTGTTGAGCTCTTCGATGCCAAGTGTGGAAGTAAGAAGGGAGTTTGCGGGTACCAGAACGCTTACACTGTTCTTGGAATATTGGTGAAGCCGAGACTTGTGTTCTTCCGTTGATGTAGTTGAGCTCAACGAAGCTATCGAGTCGGTCGTGCTGTATAGTGTCGACAATACAGGGGAGGATAAGTTGTTGCTTGGAGCTCCACCCGGCGCTTGTGGTGTCATCTCCGTGACCGGTGTCGATGAACAAAAGAAGTGTTCTTTCTCCATTCTAGACTCTCGTGAGCGTGATGGCTCGGAAGCGAGTGTTCCGGGAAGCCGGCGACGGTCTTCTACTGCAACTCTTTTATACACGCGGCAGAGTGAGATTTCAGTCTGCCAGAGAAAAAGGAATTCGAGAGAAGCAAATTATGATCAGAAGATATGGCAACCAAAGAGGCAATCAATGTCTCTTCATTCTTTTTGAAATGCTTCTATGCCTATTCAGCTGTATCTATTTATCAAGCATGTTAATGTTACCATATAAAAGGGATCTCATAACCTTTGATACGACTATCATTTTCCTTGATTCCTAGAAAATAAGAGGGATTTGACATCCCGTTAGTTTACGAGATTGATTAGATTGTCTTTTACCCTATAAATAAGGGTTATGATGTTACCATCAATAAAGTTTAACTTCTTCCTCTTTTTTCTCTTCTAATATAGTGGAAGTAGAATTTGTAGAGTTAGGAGAGTAGAGAAAGTCATTCTCAGTATCTTTTTTCTCTAAAATAGAAATCAATTCAGATGACATGCAAGAAGAGAAGAGAAGATCCACATCAAAAGCAATAATAACAAAGAAAGTATGAGAGAGAATAAGGGGGAAAAAAAAAGATAACTATTTCACATGTTTCTTGAGTTCCTTTCCAGAAGATCGAGGTATCATTCTACTTAAGGAAGCCTTATACACACGTATAGAGAGAGAGAGAGAGAGAGAGAGAGAGAGAGAGAGAGAGAGAGAGAGAGAGAGAGAGAAAGAGAGAGAGAGAGGTCGATCGAGTAGGAAAAGGAGCGAGAAG